TGTCGAATGTCCACGCACAGCCTGATGTTCAGGGTGCCGTGTGCTGCAGGGGACAGCCTTTGTCAGCATGTCACCTTGGTACAGAACGGTCTCTGTCCTTTCGCCTTCATCTGCTGCGTTTCTTCCATGTCAGGTTGGGCTTCCGGTGTTGCTTACTCTGCGTGGTCCACCCGCCCTTACGTGGAAGGCCGTGGTTCCTGCAGGGGTGCTGGGAGCGGGGGGCGGCGGGGGGCAGCAACCGGCAGGTGGGCAGGGGCGGGCAGGTGGGCGGGCCCGGCTGCCGTCCTGGTCTGTCTGCTCATCTGATTCGCACACCTTTTCAGTGGAGTATTTGTTTTCACAGTGGTCTGGAGCGTCATTTCAGGCAGGCGTCCGGGAACCGAGGGAACATTCTTAAGTTCGTTCTGGGTCCAGCGGGCGAGCGAGAGCCTTCTCAGGAAGGCTGGTGAGAACCTGACCCGTTCGGCACCGGCTGCGGTTGGGGTTTGTCGTCGGCAAGTGTGTGGCGTGACTGTCTGGGTTAGAACTCGAGCTAAGCACTCGGCGTTTCGATGAGGTGAAAGCTGAATGTTTTCGTGTTGCTGCAGTGCTCTGGTTTGACACAGATTTCTTCTGGCGCTGATGGGATGTCGAGAGTGTCCCATGTCTGTCTGTCTGTCTGAGATTTTTGACATTTTTTTTAAGTAAGTTCTTTTGGTTGTTTTGAAAGTGAGTCTGTTCAATGTAGACATTTTAGAAAATACATAAAGTTGTAAAGAGACCCCCCCCGCCCAAGTTACTTTCCGGCCTTGTAGGTGTGTGGGTACACATCTAGTCACTCTCTTTCTGAGTGGAGCTGGGGGTCCACAGCCTCATCATGCAGGGGCTGGCGGCTCCTCCCTGCAGCAGGTGCCTGGGTCCCCACTCTGGCACAGGCCGGGACGCCCGCCCTTGATGACTGTCCCCCCTCCGCGTTTACTGACTCACTGGGTCCCGCGGAGTCCCTTGTACAGGGGGGCGTCGTTTTCCTGCGTCGTGGCCGCTGCTGCCGTTGTGCAGGGCTCCGTCGTCTTACCGAATCCCACTGCCGCTTCCTCTCGGGCGCCCTGAGTCTGATCCCGCCCTCGGCGCCCCTGTGGTACTGCAGGCGCCCCGTGCTCACGTGCGGAGCCCCGTGCCGCCTGCCCCTCCGCCCCCTGGCTCCACAGAGCCTGCGCCTCATCACGACCCAGGCCACCTGGCTTCTCCCCTGTCGCCCGTTAGTCCAAACCGCTGGTGCCGGGGCCTGCAGGTGGTGCGTGGATGGAGAACTTACAAACCAACGGGTAAATAAGTTACCCATGAGAACGCTTTGCTCTTTTAAATTAAAAAATTTTTCAAATTCTGTCAGAGGATCGATCTGCTGTCACACGGTGCAGCAGCACAGAGACGGCCTGGCTGTGCGCTCCTGCGTGCGCGGACAGCCTGACGAGCCGCAGGGGAGGGCCGATGGCACGAGTGTGGACCTTCATGTAACGGCGAGGTCTGCGGGTGGCCCTGTCGTTACTGCCGTAGCGACACCACTCAGAGTACGGGACGGTCCTGTTAACCAACAGCCAGGCCACGGTGGTGACCATTACAAGAAACGCAGGCAGTTCCAAGCGTTAGCTCTACGGAAATGGTTGTTTAAAAGTCACAGAATGTGAAAAGAAGTAGATGGCAGCAGACGATGGCGGTTTCTTTCTTCCCAGTCCCCACACCCCTTTTGTTTTCTCGCCTTGGCTCGCTGGCTCGGTGCAGCCCCCGTCTGAGTCAGAGGTTTGGAGGGGCCCGCAGCGGCTTGCTGGAGGGGGCATGCCGGAGGGGCTCGCTGGAGGGGCTCGCCGGAGGGGCCGCGCCCGCTGCGTGCGGCGAAGGCCCTGCTCTCTGTCAGTCCTTTCCGCAGAATTTCTGCTGGGCGTGGCGAGTCCGTTGCGCTTCATCCCACGGTGTCTGCCCTGGTGCCTTTTCTCCTCTTCCTGTTGCCGTGATCAGTCCCGGTGATTGACCCACGGCCCGATTTCCCGGGATGACTGGCACTCGCGTGTGTGTCCTGCTCTTCACGGAGCTGGGCCTGGCTCCCACGGTTTGGGGTGTTCTGTATCCATGTTCCCGAGAGATCGGATGATACTGTCCTGTTGCGATCACACCGTCGTCGGTTCCTACTGCCGGGTCGTGCTGGCGTCACACACCGAGCTGCGGTGGCCCCTGCCCCTCATTTGTTCCCCAGGGAGCCGGTGTAGGACGGCGCTGCGGCTCCCCCAGCCTTCAGCGGGGCTGGCTGGCGGGGCTCCGCGGGACCACTGTAAGCCACGGGTTCAGTTTCTGTCACGAATATGGCACATTCGGTGTCCTATTCCTTCTTGCATTAGATTCTGAAAGTCGCGTTTTCCAGGAATTTGCCCGTTTCGTGTAAGTGTTCCAGTTTCTTGGCGTGAGCTGTGTAAACGGTCCTTTTGCCTGTGTCCAGCGCGGGGGGCCCTGAGGGACCGCTGGCCCCCTTCGTCCCTGGTGGTGGCCTGGCCGTGTTCCTTCTTCCCCTTGTCACTCGGCAGGCGCTTTTCCTGCAGCTTCCTGCTCGGCGTCACTGTAACACATTCTAGTTCACCGATGACTGCTCGTTTTTGCTTTTATTTGGTATTTTTCTAACTTCTTAAGATGAGCAGGTGGATCGCTGATTTCTAGCATGTCTTGTTTTCAGATCTGTGCATTTAAAGCTAAACTCATGGCCTTTCAAATCTGGCTCAACTCAATCTCATGGTTCTTGATGTTATTTGTTTATAGTTATTCAATCCAAAGTGTTTTTTCATCGTAACCCGATTTCTTTTCTGACCAGTGTGCTCATTTGAGTTCTCCCAGGTAGTTTAAAAGCAGTGGGGATCTTTCTGACTATCGTTTCATTGATTTCCGGCTTAACCCCACTTAGTCAGAATCCTACTTGGATTTCAGCCCTTGGGACGTGATTGAGACTTGACGTGCGGCTCTGCGCTTGGTCCGTTTTGGAGACGTGTCCGGGTCCTGGCAGACAGCGCCGCCGCCGCCGCCGCCACCCCGTGCGCCTGTCGTCAGAGCCGTCGCATTGTTCGGAGCGTCCTCATTCTCGCTGGCCGTTGGTCTCCTCCGCTGTGTGCTGTGCGAGGTGCGTGGGAATACGCCACTGCTCGTGGATGTCTCCTTTTGGTTCTGTCACGTTTGGCT